AGTACCACTTGTAGACGATGTTGTTTCTGTCACAGTGCCAGTTCCACCACTGGGTCCAGATGTGGATGATGCATGAGTTGAAGACTGTCCAGCACTATTGGTAGAAGTTGTTGTTCCTGACACAGTGCCAGTTCCACCACTGGGTCCAGATGTGGATGATGCATGAGGTGAAGACTGTCCAGCACTATTGGTAGAAGTTATTGTTCCTGACACAGTGCCAGTTCCACCACTGGGTCCAGATGTAGTTGTAGATTTTGTTGAAGACTGTCCAGCACTACTTGTAGATGTTGTTGTTTCTGTCACAGTGCCAGTTCCACCGTTGGGTCCAGATGTCGTTGGTTCATATGTTGAAGACTGTCCAGCACCACTTGTAGACACTGTTGTTTCTGTTACGGTGTTTGTTATCGATGTGGTTGCAATGTTGTTTGTTCCAGGTTCTGCAGTTGTAGGGCTTGTTTTATTGTTGATGAGGCCAACACCCAGTGTGTCCAGATCGGACTGCAGCTGCAAATTTATCCATGTCTGAATCAAACTGTCATTCTCAAACAGCTTCAGATCTGGTAGATGTTCACCCAAGAGCCCTTGGACGTTAGTCACAGTCAAATTCTGTACAACAAAAGAAATACAAAACACACTACTGTTATCTCCTATTATAGAGTTGCTTTAAATTTTAAAACTATGTTATAATTGTTTTTAGAAACAGTACATACTCAGAACAAACAATTCTGAACCCACTGAYAAGTAGATTCTACTTTCTCACTGTATCGCTAAAATGAAGTCATATCTAGTCCATTAAAATAGAAAATAGAGTTTCCTCTAAAGCTGACTCATTTAGTGCATGTCAACATTAAAACACTCTTTTTTTCCATTCCATATACTTACATTGATCACGTTAGGATCCAGACTCTCAAAGACATTAACACTCATGCTGATGTTCTGTGTTGATAAGGCTATGATGTCCATCAGAGGCGCTCCACCTATCAGCAGAAAAAGAAAAGATACAATTAAAAAACAGTTCACTGATAAGTGACTAAAAATACAAGATCCAAGAATTTTTACCTAGGTAGCCTTTTATAAGGTTGTAAAGGTCTTGTGAAGTGGCATTGAGTGAACTGAAGGAGGCTTTACTGATCTCATACAGGACTTTCTTCTGCTCAAGTGAACAAGATGACACATCCAGAAGCTCGGCATTGCTAATAAAGAGAAAATAGTCACATTAGGAGTTATAACAATATTCCTCAGTGTTATAATATACAAAATATACACTCTGACACYTACAAGATACTGTCTGGTGTGATGGTCATCAGAGTGCTCGTGTCCAGTGAACACAGATTGGAGTCAATAACATCGAGCTCTGTGCTGTCCAGGGAGTTCCCAGATGTACTCAGATACTTCATGATGATTTTATTGCTCTGAACATGAAGGAAAACATCAGTGAACCAAATCATACTCATGAGAAAGTTCAAGTAACTCTGAGGTTTTTGCAGTTTCAAAGTCGATATGATCATACCTGTGCTGGGTCCCAGGGTCCGTTGTCAGTGTTCATTAGAGATGCCAGAGTGTCAATGGTAGTGATGTTCCATTTAGAGATGTCCTCAAGTGATGCAACACGAGACACTGAACCAAGAAATTGTACTTCCTGATCAGGAACTCCAGCCGGGTATGCCTGGACGTACAGAGAACGTGTTCAATCATACAAGAAGTGTTTAAAGTGAACTGGAATAAACAACATTATTTAGAGTGGTGAGGTCCAACTTGATCAAATAACTGTTTTGTCAAACATATAGCGTTTACCTATATGCTTTTTTAATCTAAGGTTCTGCCAGTGTCACTGTAATGTCAGAAATCATGTCCCCTCTGTTCAAAATTTCCACATTTTTCAAAGTTACCTCATTGAGTCTCTCCAGAATGACGGTCTGGTAGTTATCATCATCCACCTTCGCACAGATAGCATTCAGGTTGTCTTTCAGCACAGGGAGGTCCAGGCAGAGGTCAAACTGAGTCAGATCGTAGCCGAAGGGGAAGGAAGGATCGCTGACAGTGACTGTGGTGATGTTGCCCACCGTGCACCCTAAAGATAACAGKGTGAGTGAGACCAATGTGAAAAKTGATGCAGCTGCTTAGAAATACCATCAGTGAAAATGAAACAAAACAGTTTCATTTTAAAATGAACTGTTTCAGCTGCYGTTTTASTGGCTGTTTTAAATAATGTTTACCTGCTCCTCTTTRAGTSARCAGAGAGGTGACCTGGTTGAACAGCTGCTTGAGCAATGGCTTCGGTGTGTTTGCTGATCTTAATGTTGACATGAAGACTTTAAGGAAACTTTTCTTTATTGTCTGAAGAAGAGAAACAAAAACAACTTTAAACAAGATGTCACTCAAATGAGAATAAAATTTAAGGACATCAAATCATCAAATGATTATTATTATTACACCAAATATAAATAAAAGAAAAAGAAACGTACTGGTTTGAAGTGACTCCAGAAGTTTCTTGTTAAGTACAGAGGAAGGTTTCCTAGGTTCGTCAGTGTTTGCTGGTTCCAGGTGGCAACATTACTATAAAAGGAGAAAAAAATAAACATATTTTTGAAATGTTGTCAAAATGTTTGCTTCTAAAAAAGAAGCAGAAATTGAATGCTTAGATTTGTTTTTTGTACCCGTATTTTGTGTTCCCGGATAGCAGCACCGTCTCTATAGCAGTGATTTGGCTGTTAGAGAATTTCTTGCAGGCTTTGAGTTTTTCCAGGATGAGTGGATCTGAGTTCAGTATGTAAGAACTGTCCAGAATGCAGACCATGTTCCCCAGAACATTCAYGTTGTCTTGGCTCAGGTTGAATCCATTTATACCCTGAAGATTTCAAATATACAATGAATAAGAGAAGCTTTTCCATCAAACAACTACTACAGCCTCATTAGAAGCTCATTATCATGATTACATCTCAGAACGTGAGGATATATTTGTTTCATGTTGGAGTATTTTTACATATTCTTCATTTAACTGGAACTCACCAAGCAGGTCCTGGCGTCATTGAGGTGCTGTTGGCCCTTGTTCAAAATGCTGGAGGGCACCGTAAAGTCTGCAGCACCCAGAGCAGAAAAATAGGCTCTGCAGTTGCTCTTCTGGACTTTCTGAGAGCTGCGAGGAATTCATTAAAAAAAGTTGGAAAATCAGTAAAAATTATCTTTTCTTTTCCATTTTAGAAACTCCTAAGTTCAGTTCAGACTTACCTGAAGTAGAGAAGCATGTCTGAGGGATAATCTGTGACGTTCTGACTGAGACCTCCTTGGAGCAGGTTGTACATGCAGGTCAGCTGGAGGTAAAGATGTCATAATGTCAAATAAATGTTAAATGCTTATTTAGGCCAACCTCTACAGACTGGCAGAAAATCCTGAGTTGATATTCAGTTTATGATTCATTTTTGCAACAATTTTAAATTCAGCATTTATCTCCATAAGATTTTTGTAGATTTTACCTGTGACTCCTTCAGTTGCACCTTGGCTCTGCCGGCCCTTGGCCTACAGGCGTAGATCAGCTGCTTTACCAAAGTTTTGGTCATTTTCTTAGTTGATGTGCACGTGAAGCCTTGCAGCACTAATGGCGAAAGCCTATAAAACCACAATTAAAGTTTTTAAACTCAGATTATCTTCTGTATAAAATAACGAAATCATTTTAGAATAAAATTTTAGCTCAATAAATGTGAAAATGACAGTTATGGTAATTTTGTGTTTTATTAGCTGTAGTAGCCACCTTCAATCAGGCTGACTCCAAAAGTTAAACAGTTGTAGATGTTTATCCAATGATTTATTTTTCAATGGGATATTTTGCTAACAGGCAATTAACTTGTGAAGACTGTAGGAGATGTTTGAAAACAGTTGCAAGATTTATTTACTTACTGCTCAATGTCAAAGTTGGATTCAGCCAGGTTCTTAAAGTACATGACGGACTAAAAACAAAAGACAAGAAATAAAAAAGGAAATTAGTCATCCTGTAACTAACTTCTAGGTTAAATCCCAAAGCACTGAACACAGAGTTTAACTTCATGCACCAGGAAAACCCTGTCTGTACAGCCGCACTGACCTGATCTTGTGTCCATGTTTTTTTGTTGATGGTGCTGAAGTTCGCAGTCCCCGTAGGGAATAAAAGATGAACTGGTGGGATATTAGTCGCCAGGGCGTCAGGGACATTCTCCACCACCTTGGCTGGACTTGGGGCCACAGAAATGATCTATCAAGTACAAAAACATGCATTTTTATTTTGCTTGCGAGAGTCTAGCCAATTAATTTATTTGTTGGGCATATTTGCACATTATATCAAAATCATGTCCACTGACAGAAAAGCTAACTTTGTACCTTATTGACAAAAGTCTCCTGGACAGATTTTGGAGCTTCCACCAAGCTGGTAACAACAGTGAGGTCCTTGGAGGCGGTGAGAATTTCAGAAGATGGGATTTTATTTATCAACTCAGAAGAAACTCCAACAACAAGAGAGCCAAGGGATGCCAGGGTGGTTGCATTTTTTATCTGTCAAACAAATTTTATAAATTAAAACTTTATTTTCTAGACAGGAAACTACTTCTGGTTCAATGAAACAATATTAAACAATATATTTAAATCAGAGTACCTGGTAGCCTGAGGTTGTGATGGTTTGGACTATGCTTGTGGCCTGGTCCTGACTCCATGTTGTCACCGAGCTCAGAGTGGGCAACGAGGCAACCASCACCAATGGAGACACTGAAATGATCTGGGTGCTGGTCAGGCCCGAAGAGGCGTTCCCAAGAATCACAAACGTCTGCCCCGTGATGTTTTTGAAGTTGGACGCCAAAGCAGCATTGGCCTATAAAGACAATTTATCTGGCATTATTTTATTTAAAACAAAGAACACCATACAGGGGAGCACGGGGGTAGCAGCATGATGTTGTGTGGAGGGGTTTTCATTGGCAGGGACTGAGAAAATTAAATTTGTATAAACTAGATCTTTTAAACTCTGTTGATGAGTTGGATTTTTTTAACCATGTACCTCTGGGTTTACAGTTCCARTGCAGAACTGTTTTATCCTGTCCAGGATGACCATGGTGTCAGCTTCATTGAGAGAAGTAAARGCTGTAACTGGGATGTTAGGGGAGCACAACAAAATTCCTGGAAGACTGAATGACAAAAGGCATGTTACTTAACTTTATATATTTGTAATTGCTTTTAAAAATTACATTATTTCCCCTTTTTTATTTACAATGATATATATTTTGTATGTTGTACACTTACTTGATGACCTTGAAGTTGAGGTTGAATATATAAAGCTGCGTGATGTAGTAGTTTCTCACATCTTCTGAGATAGCTATGTTGTTGAAAAGCTCCAGATTGACTTGGTTCTCCAAAAGTAGGTCAATCTAAAAAACACAAAACAATAAAATAACAAAATCAGGTCAGAATGTACAAGTTTAACTTTCAAGGACATAGACTCCATTTTGTGAAATTCCAACACCAGAATAACAGAATACTTTGCAAACTAATCATTAATCGACCATATAATGATGTCAACACTTTCTTAGAGCATCCTTGGCTATAAGGATGATATACACCATTTAAARGGATCTCAAAACTATCTGATTTTTACTGCCTCTTTGATAGTATGAAAATAATTTAATATTTGCTGTCTCTTTCTTGCCATTTTTAAAATAAATAAATTAGGGATTTGACAAACAGAACAGTTAAACAAGATGAGGTCAAGTTCAAGTTTTAATGTAGCAAAATGAGAACATACCTGAGAGCTGGACACAAAGCTGGTGAAATCATCCACGGTGATAAAAGTCACAAAGCTGCCGATGTAATCGGCAAACCAGGAGGTAGAGTTGAGTGCTGGATCACTGGGATTGTAGCATCTGACTCCAGAGCCTGAGGAAACAGCAGAGATTTAAGATAAAAGCACATAGTTTTACCAATATCTGATGAGATTGTAATGGTTTTAAAGGGTAATAAACAAATATATAAGGAACTCAGTGTAATAGTGAGGACTGAAACTATAGCTGGATATACATTTGTCCAACATATTGCACCATTATTACAAAAATAAATCTTACTGGCACTCAGATGGCTTCTGATGGTGGCGTACACATCCACCTGTCCAAAATCAGAACTATTGTACGTGAAGTTGTTTCCCATGAAGAACACCCTGTTGAAAGTGGGAAAAAAATCATTTAACTGAGCTGTGTTTGATCCGTCCAGTAAATTTTAGGGCTCTGAGACAAAGACTTACAGTTTCTGGAAGGCGAAGCACGAGGCGTTCTGCACTTCAGTGGAGCTGATGAGGCTCTTGGTGAGGAATCCCAGGTAGTTTTTCAACCGAACATCAAACCACAAATTGGCCTCAGACGTGCTGGTGCTGCTCAGAGCAAACTTCCAAACACAAGGGAGGATCACCTTCTTCAGATCATCAGAAATGTTCTCCTAAAGGTTACGGATGGAGTGTCAGTGTTAATAACAAGGACAGATTCTCTTTGAACAAAGTCATGTTTTGAGAAGAGAGACATACATTTTCCAGGAAGGCATTAACATTGTTGTAGCTGTTGAAGATGACACAGACGTCTGAGGCGTTGCTGATTACACCAGGCTGACTGAGGAACTGATGCAGCTCTGAGGTGCTGATGGTYTTTAGGAGCTGAAGAAGAACAAAACCCACAGGGTTACATTTTCTTACAAAAGTACAGTTTTAATCTGCATCTGTTATTATGGAAAACTGTAACTGTCCTCATCATCTGTGTGAAAATTATTAAAAAAAATTTTTTTAAACTTTTTTACCTCAGACTTGCGTGTTGGCGGCAGAAGAGACGCAAATGTTGACACATCTAGAACGCCAAAGCTGAGGAAGGTGCTTTTCAGGAAGACGTAGAAGCTTCCACCTGTGTAACATTTCAGGGGTGCTGGACCTGTTTTTCAAAGTAAAATATATATTTTTGGTGTAAAAAAAAGGCATCCAAACGAAATACAACTTTGCACTTTTAAAAAAATAAATGTTGCAGATTTTGTTGCTGCATCAAGTTGATTTTAAGGTTTTACTTTCAGTAACTTTTCTACTGGTTTTGCACAAACCTTGGAGGAAGAAGACAATGTTTTTGAAGATCTCAGTTTGGGTGTTGCTGCTGAGTGTCGCCTGCAGAGTGTTAAGCAATCCAATCCTACAAAAAGGATGAAAAAAAAAAACAACAACCCCAAAACTGATCAAAGTGTTGCTTTCACCAAACGTAATTCGTTTGACTGTATCAGATTGTAGCTTACATTTCCTGGCTGCTGTTGCAGCTCCTGTTTGTCCCGATGCTGAAAAACTGTGCCACCAAACTTGAAGAGAGGTCGACCAGTAAAGGCCTCAGTCGCACCTTCAGCCACAGCAGGAACTCTCCATCACTTACAGCTGGRGAGGCGAGACCTGCTCGGTCAAAAACTCCCTGGAGGAAGGCAGACTTCACCTCCTGTGTGTAGCTGGCTGACTGGGCCTGTGGGTAAATATACTTAGTGTGAAAATGAGGCACAAAAAATGGTACAAATGGASATAAAATAATTTAACTTGAATCATTTGGCTGTTTGTTTAATTAATCATTTTAAAGAAGTTGTGATTTATTTAAAAACATAACATGACGGAGCAATAAAGGCTATGTCGCTAAATAGTTAATTGGCCTGTTCTGTTTAAATTAATATTTTTGTTGTGATCAATGTTATTTTTTAAATTACTGTAGTATTTTATCCCGAGGGTCAAGTACAAGTTACTTGATAACCATTTATCAACCATTTATTTTGTTTTATTACTAACACAGTAGTTACTGAACGTTATYGCTCCTGACTGAATAAGTGATTATATGACAAAGCCTTCTTGTCAATTTAAATACATGAAAACCACTAATACCTCAATTAAACAAGAACAWACTGACAATTTAAACAGTCTTAACATTGAATATATTGTTTTAAAAATATTTGAACACTAAATAATGACAAAATATGCAATAAGCAATATTTTAAAATGTAAGGTCATATC